CTGTAGAATTTTTAAATAATTATGTAACTTTTTGGTTTTGCTCTATGCTAAAGTTTCAAATACCTGTAAGTTTTCATTTAAAATTCCATGTTGCATTTATGAAATGGTTTTTTTCCTAGTATTGGGATTGAGAAAAGATTCCTTTTTCATATGACATAAATAATTCAGTAAAATATCCAGATTAAGAAAATGGAATAAATTTGTTTTTAGCTATTATAAACCAAATACAGAATAAGTGGTATTATCATTGATACATTAGAAATGCTTGAGGCACTGGTACTAGTTGATTTTTAAGTGTTACTTTTATGAGTAATTGTACATAATTTTTTAAATATAGGTTTCTGTTGGCTCAGAACAAATAATCATAGGGAAGAGTTAATATTACCTATCCTCAAAAGTAGAAAAACCTCACTAAAATGCGTACTGCTCTTTTATGCCTGCCACACAAGTCTCAGTATTCGCATTTCTCTAATTGCATCCTTATAATATTAATCTGTTAATTGCTTTTGGCATAGTGCTGTATAAATGTTTTGTATAATTCTAGGGATATATGCATGTTCGTCCCACTGCACCCATGTATTTTAGATTTTTACTTTTAGAGTTTGTAGAGTAATAGACAATGATAGCAGAGAGAGTCAACATTAATTGAATGTATACTGTGTGCACAGTATTATGCTAAGTGCTTTATATATACTCTCGTCTAATTCTCACAGTAAGCACATTATTAGATGTTTTTTTAAAGTTAATCCAGGTTTATTTCCCCAGTCTTCTTTCATGGCCTATTCTGGAATTTTCCAATTTGGCAAGAGATGTGAAAAGTATGTTGTGTTGGTTCTGTGAGAATTCTTCATTAAAAACCATCTCACTAGAATAAAAGCTCTATGAGGGCTGAATTCATGCACAGTGCTCTAGGAACACAGAAAAGAGATATTTTGCTTGATGCTGGTGGGTTCAGGGAAAGATTTAATTGTGTCTCTAAGCCTTAATTCTAAAGAAAGATTATACTACATATGACTCTTTAGAGGTCTTTAAACTATAATAGTTTAAAAGTATATGTACAGGCTTCCTACGCCGATATATATCCAAATGTATATTTGAAATTGTATGACTTAAATATACTTGCTTTTTTAACATTAATGACTATATGTGCTCAAAAGTAGTAATACTGAGAATGATAATGTTTTTTCACAGGTTTTGAAAGAGGGAAGGAAGATATTTCTCAAAATAAAGATGAATCTTCACTTTCTATGTCAAAGAGTAAGGTAAGTGTATTGTCCCCAAATATATGATTATGACATTTTTCTAGTATTTAAGATGAGAGAACTAACACTGAAATCTTGTCAGGCTTTTATGAGATATTTTTATGTTGATATAGCTAAACCATGGAGTATGTATAAAAAGGTGAAGTTCCACTGGGAACTAAGTGCCGTTGGTTACTTAGAAATACGACCTGTTGGTAACTAGTATTCTCTCCAGAGTAGTACTGTTTCTGGTATGTCTGCCACAGCAGTACTTCTTACATTGGAGTCTTGAGCGTTCCATTCAGATACATTCTCAGGGTTCATGATTTTAAAAAAAAAATTCTCAAGTGTTTTGGGTTTATTTGGATGACAATCACGATATATACACTTTACCAGGTAAAGGCCAGATCTTTGCAGTAATCTGCAATTGAAAGTCATTTTCTTAGAATAAGACATAATTTCCTAAATCAGTATTTCTCAAACTGGGATACTAACATACATTCTTAGGTCTGTCGAGCCTTTTTTCTTTAAGATTGCATATTCAAATTTAAGAAACACTATATGATGCAATGGTTTCCAGATGGGTTTGTAGTTTCCTAGATTTTCTATAATTTTTCAAGGAATTCGGCTTTTGACTGTTCCTTCTGGTCAGGTTTAGAAGCAGGAAGAGCTTTTATGTCTGTGGGCTCAAAGTTCAATGACTATAAGAAAACCTATTTATTCTCAGCAATGGACCCTTTCTCTTGCAACCCTACATTTTTTGCTCCTGTTTTCGGGAGTGGTTGAGAAGATTGCCCAATGTTTTTGTGTATGATTTTTATAGAAATGTTATTCACACTTTTCAAGTATTCATTACATAAAGGTCCATCTATCATGTGTGTAAAGTCCTTAGGATAAAAGTTTAATATTTATACAACATATACATGAGCCATATGTGGATCTTTAAATTAATTAAAATTAGAAATTCAACCCCTCAGTTATACTAGCCACATTTCAATGCTCAATAACCACATATCGTTAGTAGCTACCATGTTGTACAGCTCAGATATAAAACATATGTTGTTTAGAAAGTTCTGCTTACTGGGCAGCACTGCTTTAGATTCAGAAGAGCAAGTTTGAATCTTAAATCTCATCTATTACCTATGACTTTTTAGGTGCTAATTACAATGATATTAATAGCTACTTAAAAAAAAAAATAAAAGAAATGAGGTCTTGGCTATGTTGCCCAGGCTGGATTCAAATTCCTCTGCTCAAGGGATCCTCCCAAATAGCTGGTACTACAGACACATGCTACGGTGCCTGGCTTAATAGTTACTTTGTATTGAGAGCTTACTTGTGCCATTTTTTAACTCTCATAATACTAGAAGACAGGTATTATTGACTTCACTTTATAAGTGAGCAGAATCAAAGCTCAGAGAAATTAAGTAACTCTCGAGGGGTCAAAATAACTAGCAAGTGGTAAAACTAGAATTCAAAGTGGCTTTAGTTTTCTTTTCTGTGCAAAGGAGATAAGATCTACCTCCCAGATCGTGACGCAAGAAGTACCTGACATAGTAGCTGATTAATAATAGGTATTTAAGAATTTATTTCCCTACTTCGAATACAGAATTAAAGTGAATGAGTAGAGTCCTTAAGATGGTAACTATTTGGTATAAGTAAAATTATACTCATTGTGTTATTTTCCAAGAGCTGAAATTTACTAATTCTCTCATAATTTAGATTTAATCTTGATTTATTCTGTTAAACAAATCTGTAGTTGCGGACAGGTGTGGTAGATCATGCCTGTAATCCCAGTAATTTGGGAGGCCAAGGCGGGAGGATCATTTGAGCCCAAGAGTTTGAGGCTGCAGTGAGCCATGATAACACCACTGCACTCCAGCCTGGGTGACATAGCCAGACCCTGTCTCTATTACAAAAGATAAATAAATAAAGCCAGGAAGAAGAGGGAAAAAAGGAAGAAAGGGAGAAATCTATAGTTGCTAGTTTGGCCCTAAAATGTTTTAACTTGTAAACCACTTGGTTTTTTAGGAAAATCATAAAATTTATACATTTATTATTAAACCTCATTCTCATGGACTTCTGAAGATTTTTAATGTTACCTAAGTAACTTTGGGTAATAAAATTTTGTCATTCCTTCCAAGATTGGTATCTTTAAACTGAAACCATCAAAGAATTTTAACTTTATGCTTTTATACACTTATTGCAAAAAAGCATCAATACTGTCATTTTGGTCATAGGATTTGGGGTTAACTGTTACTTCTTAAAATACATAATTGAGACCAATAAGCACAATGAGATACATCCTCCTCACCCTCAGAACATTTTTTTTAATAAATGCAGTTCCTTTTTCTAATGCATCTTTTTCTAGGCATTTTCATTATATGAATGAGTGAATTGCAAAAGTCAGGTAATCATATTATCCCAAACAAAATAGCATTTTTAAATGAATTTTTAATTGTCCATCTCAACAAAAGAAATTACAGGGTGAGTAATGTGTCTAGTGGGATAAAAGGAATCCTATTACAAAGATAAGGGGTTTCCAAGCCCAGATCTCTTAACTTGATTCTTCAGCCATCTATCTACTTGCCTGTAGGTTTGCTAAGTCGTCTGTTACTTGCTTTAGAAAATGTATTTACCTGGACCTTTAAAAAACCTCTCTAAACCAAAATATCTGATGTAGTCACAGTAACTTATTATTCTTATATCTGTAGTATTAATATTTTATAATTTTCAAAG